ATGTTGCTCTACGGTATTAGGATTTTCTCGGAAATCTGAACCGGTCACTTAGCAGCTGAGGTATTTATGTGTCTGCGTAAATCCACCCGTACGTACTCACATCTTACGCCCCAGAGGAATCGCCAAGGAAAGTTTAGAACCGGCAGCCTCACTTAATTATCCAATAGCAGACTCAGGATGAAGTTTTCTTCACATGGCACTTCCCGAGGCGATTTGGGTTTCCTCCAATGTCTACAGGACAATAAAGTTGTAGTCTCTATGGATGTCTTGCTGAGCACCAAGATCAAAGCAAACCCAACCATATAAGACACAATGATCTAGCCACATAAACGACCTCATAAGGTAATGCAGTATTTCACCTCCGAGGAGATACCAGTGGCAACGACAAGGACTTATCCCGCTCATCAAATCCAACACTTGCGAAGAAATCGCAAGGTAGAAATGACTAGCGACGGCTGTTCTAGCCACATAAACGACCCCGTCGAACAACAGATGTCCGCAGGGAGATACCAGTGGCGATGCATGCAAAATCGGTAGTAGTCAGATGTTCTGAGACTCTCTTCAAATGAAGATTAAAGGGGACAGCCATTGTGTCATAGCTGATGATGGCTTTGTGTGAGTCATCGACGATTGTCTCCCAATGAAGGTGCGAAGTCTAGTGAGACACTCTGTCTTGCGGAAGACAGTTCTCCACGACAATATGAGAGAGTCAGGCGGAGTTCAGCTGAACACAAGCAACGTGGTTAACATTCGAAACAATATACACTGATAATAAGAATAACCTGCCGGTCGGGCCGGGCACTAAGCCTGCAGTATGCTGCCGACCAACAAGGGATATGAGCTACTCTGCATGTTCCACTCCCAACTTCAGGTACTCTATTGAGGCCCAACTACTAACCTACGCTGAGCAGCGTCATATGCGTTCCAGTCTCTTTCCGGTGCGAAGTAGCTGTAAATCGGAAAAGAGAGGTAGCAAAGACCGACCAGAATAACCAACACCTGGCCGACCGCGTTGGTCGCCCCTTTGTAAGCTCTCGGGACCACGGGGTGAGAATTGACCATCTTCCTGAGACCCTCCCGAGCGTGCGATATGAAGAATAGAATGCCGATGAGGTAGTAGCAAACCCAGAAAGGGTTCGAAAAAAGTTGGAATTCCATCTTGTAAAGATCCTTGAAGTGGACGAGCTCGCAAGAGGTATCGTCACCGCTGCAGTAGAAGGGATACATCCACTTGGTACGGAAGTAGTACTGGGGAGCGGCGGCCTCGCTGACGAAACGGAACTGGATAAGATGGACAACGAGGAAAGCCAGAAGAAATACGCCAGATATTATCATCCACAAGCCGTCCACACCCATGTTGAGCCTCTTAAACTTGAAGGTTCTCACAAGAGCAACGACAACATGCATAAGTCCACACAGCAGGAGGTATACCTCTATTGGTAGCATCAGAGTGCTCCATGGCACTGGATGGTTAAGGAAATAGCCATAACCATTGAAGTGTGGGGCACCAGCGAAAATATGGAGATTGCCAAGACCGTGGATAATGGTGAAAAAGAGAAGGAAGGCAGCAGACCTGGTCAGGCCCGACT